ACTGAGGGTTAAGCATGCTCATTGCAAATGGATTGTACATTGTCTTTAGGCCTTTTCAGCAGACAGAGGTAGGAAATACATACATACATACATGCATTTTAACGATAAAGTAAAATCATGGTGATATTTCCAATTAAATTCAGGACTACTGGGTTTTACTTAACATCCTTTATCTAACATATGAATCTCCTTTCTTCCCTAAGAAAAACCCTGTAAAAAACTACACCAACAAAATTATTCATTTTTTCCCATAACTCACAAAACAGTATCCAAATAAAATACCAACATTATTACCACCATGATTTTTGAAAATAGTTCATTTTCTTGTAGTTCTTTTTTCATAAAATTCATAAAAAATTCCTTACGATTATTTTGTTTAGGTCTTCTGCAACTTTCCTTTTTTTTGTTACCTCAATTTTTTTGGCCTCATGGTAGTGACTTACAGCTCCTATTATTGGTGTATTTCTATTTCTCTTTGCATTTCTTAGTTTCTGCTGTATGAAAGTGGCTGCTTCTTATAGGGTGAGTAGTTAACATATGTTACATCTTCATTGAGTCTCTGCGTGACTTATTTCACTTAGTATAATGTCCTCAAGATCCATCCATGTGGTTGCAAATGTTGGGATTTCCTTCTCTCTCTTCTCTTTATGGCTTAATACTATTACATGTGTGTGTGCGTGTGTGTGTGTATGTCTTCTTTATCCATTCGTCCATCGATGGACACTTAGGTTGCTTCCATGTCTTGGCTATTGTAAACAATGCTGCAATGAACATGGGGATACAGTTATCTCTAAGATAGTGATTTTGTTTCCTCTGGATATATACCCAGAAGTGGAATTGCCAGAGGTGGATCATATGGTAGTTCTATTTTTAATTTTTGGAGGAATCTCCGTACTGTTTTCCACAGTGGCTGCGCCAGTTTGCCTTCCCACCCACAGTGCACAAGGGTTCCCTAGAGGAGACCCCCAGCTCTTGCCAGTTCTTCCTTCTTTCCCTCTCCTGCAGTGGCCGTCTTGCCTGGATGATCCTCCTTAGTTTGACCTTTGTCTGCTATAGATTTCCTGCTGCCTAAGCCACCTGCCCTTTAGGCTGCCATCCTTAGAACCTGACCTCTTCAGTCCAGGCCAAACCCCATCCCTGAAGGAGAATAACTTTTCTGTCCCCAGGTTCCTATCCTGAGCTGAGCTGGGCTTTATTATAACTTAATTTTTTAAATAAAAAAATGTGATGAAATACACATTGCATAAAATTTACCATCTTAACCATTTTTAAGGGTACAGGTATTATCAAATATATTCACATTGTTGTGCAATCTCCAGGATTTTTTTCATCTTGTAAAATGGAAACTCCGTACCCATTAAGCAGCTCCCACTCCCCCCTCCCTCCAGCCCCTGGCAACCACCATTCTACTTTATTTCTATGAATCTGACACCTTATAAAAGCAGAATCGTGCTGTATTTGTCCTGTAATGGGTTTGTTTCACTTAGCATAATGTTCTCAAGCTTCCTCTACGTGGCAGCATGTGTCAAAGTCTCTCTCCTCTTTAAGGCTACTATTCCATGTAGCACATCTTGTGTATCCATTCATCTGTCAGTTGACATTTGGGCTCTTCTACCCCTAAGCTATCGCCAATGATGCTGCTATGAACATGGGCACACATATATCTCTTTGTGACTCTGCTTTCCATTCTTTTGGATATATACTCAGAAGAAGAATGGCTGGATCATACAGCAGCCCGTTTTCTGAGGAACCTCCATACCATTTTCCACAGCGGTTTTACTATTTCACACACACAAGGATTCCAGTTTCTCTACATCCTCGCCAACTCTTGGTATTTTCTGTTTTTCACAGAACCTATCCTAACAGATGTGAGGTGGCATCTCACTGTGGTTTTGATTGCATGTCCCTAATGATGAGTGATGTTTTGCAATTTTTCCTGTGCTTGTTGGTCACCTGTGTGTCTTCTTTGGAGAAATGTCTCTTCAAGCGCTTTGCCTGTTTTAAAATTGGGTTTTGAGGGGCGCCTGGGTGGCTCAGTAGGTTAAGCATCTGACTCTTGATTTTGGCTCGGGTTGTGATCTCAGGGTCGTGGGATCGAGCCCTCCATTGGGCTCCACGCTCAGCTCGGAGTCTGCTTGTTGCTCTCCCTCTGCTCCTCCCTCCCTCGTCCTTTTTCTCGCTCTCTCAAATGAATAAAATCTTTAAAAAAATAAAATCAGGCTTGTTGTTTTGTTGTTGTTGAATTGTAGGAATTCCTTACATTTTTTTGGATGTTGATCCCTTAACAGTATACAATTTGCAAATATTTCCTCCCATCCCTTAGGTTGCCTTTTCACTCTGTTGACTGTGTCCTTTGATGCAGTTTTTGGATTTGATGGAGTGCAATTTATCTGTTTTTTCTTTTGTTGCCTGTGCTCTTGGGGTCCTAGCCCAGAAATCATCACCAAATCCAATGTCATGAAGTTTTCCCCTATGCTTTCTTGTAAGATTTTTATATTTTAGGTTTTATGTTTAGGTATGTACCCCCTTTTGTGTTAATTTTGGTCTATGGTAGATTTCCACATTTCCACTCTTGGCTTCTGGCCCAAAATATGTCTTTCCTCCCCTTCCCCAAGAAACACTTGCCCCTAGCCACGGAAAAGGCCATTAAAATGTAAGAAACCAATGCAAAAATTTATATTTTATTTGAATTCAAAAAATTTAAAATTGCTTTCAAATTCAGGAAAGTACCATAATGCAGGACCCCAGGGGAAGCCTCATATACAGAGACAGATAAATTAAATGTATATACCGCAGACAAGCCAAGAAGGTGTGTAGATTACATATTTACAGTACTTGATGTTTTCTGAAAACCATATTTATACATTTTATTACATTTACAAAAAAGGCTTCCACTACCGTTTACCTACAATAATGAAAAAAAAATTTACACCTTTTTTTCTTTCTTTTTTGGTACTGTACAAACTTTGTATAATAAAAATATATCTCTGTACAAAAGATTTTTTTTGTTGTTTTTGTTTTACTTTTTTTTTTTTTTCCTCATGGGATGGCGGTGGGTGTATGGTGTGGATGGTGAGTGAAAGGCCTAGTCTGCCCCGGTTCCTTCCAAGCCTCTGGAGGTGGTGTGAAAATGCCAGAGGTGGGCATGGGTGATGCACAGCAGAGTGCTGGGTGCCCCACTGGCGTCTCCTGGGACTTCAAAGGGGACACAGGGGAGGGGCGGAGGCAGGGCTGGAGAAGGAGTCCACTGCGTGGTCTGAGAGGAGTGAAGAACAGGGAAAGGATGCAGCCAAAGAACTTCCTGCATTTGTTTCCAGGGAAGGAGAGGGATGAGCACGTGAGTGTGTGTGTTTGGGTTGGTCCTCTCCCGCCAAGCCAGGGGTGTGGTGGCCCAGAGCAGGTGTGGGCGGCTGTGGGCTCCTGCCATTGCGGGTCCCAGTCCCGTGTGCTGGAAACTGACCACCTCTCAGCCCGTCTTAACGTTAGGCAGCTCGCTTCATTTGCTTAAGAACCGGGTGTCCCTGCCATTCCATTCCCTTACATTTCTATTTGTTATTTCAATTATGTGAATTGAACACCTCAGGACAGCATGTCACATGTGCACAGGTCTTAAGCCCAGGGGGACCTTCCCGAGGACAGAGAAAACAGCTCTAAATGCCACCGTTTGATCCCTCAACTTGTTAGTGTTCCAACAATACGTATACGGAATTCAATAATGACCCAGGGACGATGGAACTCAAAATGAATCAAGCCGATTTGCAAGGAACTGGAGAGAATGTGACTTTCATTCACTCCATTCTTTTGATTCAGGAATGCTCAGGTTGTCTGTCTGCTGTAGCGAGGGGCTGCTGAGAGCCAAGGGGCCAGCGCCGGCTCCCGGGGGCCTGGGCACTGGGTCCTTTCCCTGACGCTGCCAAGTGGAGAGAACAGAGCCCAGCTGGGACACACAGGTCTCCTGCCTGGCCCACCAGCCTTGGCCACAGCTCTGCACCTACTCCCCCCCGTATTTGGTGCCCCGTTAGACCTGGGTGTCTGGCAGCTGGTGTTGTGGACTTTGGAGCCAGACCCATCTGGGTTAGCGTCCTGACTGCACACTTACTGTGTGGCTTATGTCTCTTCAAACTTTCCGGGCTTCTGTTTTCTCGTTTATAAGACAAGAACAATAATTCCTATATTTTGGGTGTTGTAAGGTCTAGAAATGATACACCGAAAGTGTCAGGCACAGAGAAGAAACTCAGCACATGGCAGCCATTACTTTTTGGACACTGGGCTAGACTTGCCCTCCTGTACCAGCCCCTTCCCGATGCCTGCAGCCTTGGCCACCTCTGTCTGGGCCACTGACTTGCTTCTTTTCTCCTGTCAGTTGACAGCCAGACTTGACCTTGGACTCAAGGCCCGATTCCTGTTGTCCCTCCCCCCAACTCACCCTTCTTTCCCAGTGCTGCCCGGGACCCGGAATGACTTTTTTAACTTACTGCGCTTAGAACTCAATAAAATTCTGTTGGGAAAAATAAACTGCTTTCTACAGTACTTCTTCAGATGTTTTTCTGCCCTTGGGGTACTCCTTGCTGTCACCCTGCAGATGAGGACGTCCATTGGCAGACAGCTGCTTTCTGCACGTTGGCCACCTGCTGACACAGTCACCGTGTCCTCACACACGGGGCAGACGGGGCGTGTTGGTTTCAGTGTGTCCTCCTCTTCACCTCTTCTGTGTGTGGGGGGGGAGCAGGGCATGGGGCATCTTTCACACACAGCTCTCTTTCTTTCTTAAGCTTCTGTGGTCTCTTCCATAGACTCAAATGAAGGAGAGGCGTGTGCGTTTATGTGTGCTCGGGCCCATACAAACACGGGCACATCCACAAGATGCTTTGCTATTTTAAATCTGTAAGCTTCCTTCATCCATCTGCAGCCCCCTCTTCCTTTACTGTCCAAAGTCGGGGCCCAGTGGGCGTCTTCTCTGGGGTGGCGGGTGCAGATGGTGGCGGGGCGAGGGCCCAAGTCCCAGCAGTAGCAGACACAGGCAGAGAGACAGACGAAGATGGGCACCGGGCGCTGTGCTCAGGGGGCTCTCGGCCTGTCCCCGGAGAACTAGGGACAGACAGATGGCACCAGAGATTGTAAACAAGAGAGGCGGGGTGGGGTGGGGTGGGGCAGGGAGCAGGAGCCGGTGAGAGAAAAGAGGCAAAGCAAAGAGGGATAAAAGGGAAAGAAGTAAATTAGTAGCCTTGATCTTTGATCTTCCCCAACTGAGGATGGGGTGTAGGTGGGGGAACACACACAGCAGGACACACATTCTCCCATATTGTCTTTTTTTTTCTGGCAGTATCAACTTATCCATTAGGCACAAGAGACCCAATGCTTAGGGGCCACCACACTTTTAGGGGTGCAGGAAAATGGTTTAACTTAATTTCTTTCAAAATCGGAAGGAAAAAATATGAATATGACAATAATGGGCATACAATAATGTGTCCAGACTGGGTTATATTCATCTTTATAACAACATAGTTGTCAACTATCATGTTTAATATTTTTTTTTAATGGAGGAAAAGGCCCACGAGAGCCATACCACAGCCCTGCTCCCTGACTCACTGACCCCACAGGCCTCCATGATTTTCCTATTTCGGGTTCTTATTTTAATTTCAGCTGTTCTTGTTAGGCATCATTTGAATTCATCACCTAATTATTCATTTTAATCCTATGTGTGTGTGTTCAGGGTAGTTCTTCATACATCCCCTCCCTGAGTCAACAACGCTTTCTCTGTGTTTCCTCTGCGCTCCTGCTCTGGGCAGGGCACAGTGGGCGCCTCTCCAGGGGAGCCTTGCTGGATGGCTGTGGCCTGGGTGGAATATTCTGAAGCCCTGAATGCTGATGACAGACAATGCTGGGGGCTCTTAGACTTGGAGACCCCAACTGCACGTGACCTGGAGGTGACACATATGCGCACAGGTGTGGGGACCCAATGGAGCCCGAGATGGCAGCGGGGGTTGGGGAGGGGCGTGATGCAGATCAGGGGGCATTCTGGTTCCTCTCTTATACTGTTCAGTAATTCAGCAACTCGAAGTTCAGAGTCATTACTGATCACCTGTAAGGCCTGACTTATGTCATCAGAGGGGATTTTCCTTTTTCTTTTTTGCTTTCTATTTGTACGAGTTCTGAGTAAGAAAAAGTACAGAGGGATCATAAAGACGAAACCTCAGAACTAAGTATGGAATTCTGGAATAATTTCTCCTCCTTCTTTAAATGTTTGTTTCAGACGGATGTCAAAGGATATGGAAAAACTCAATAAGTTAATTATTTCTGTTCAATGGTTGCCTTTGTATATTCTGAAAATAATTTTTATCTCTTTATGTATAAATTATCTTAATGCCTACAATTTTAAGCTTAGACTTAAGCTAGAGAAATAATCTAGAGGAGAAAGTGGACGCAGAGGAGGGAGGGGAGAATTGGAGACAGGCAGGGATTGTGGCAACCATCTCCCATGATCTAGGTGATGGCTAATTTGACACATCAGCTCGACAAGGCTCTGGTCAGACACTAGTTGTTTGGTCGAACACAGGTCTAGATGTTGCTGTGAAGGGATTTCTTAGGTGTGTTAACACTTAAATCAGTAGACTTTGAGTAAAGCAGATTACCCACCCCATAGAGGTGGGCCTCGTCCAATCAGTTGAAGGCCTGAGGAGAAAAATAAAGGTCCCTGAGGAGGAAGGAATTCTGCCTCCAGATGGCCTTTGGATCAAGATGAAATCAACCCCTGATGGAATTTCCAGCCTGCAGGCCTGCCCTGTGGACTTTAGACTTTCCAGCACCACAATCATGTGAACCAATTCCTTAAACTAAATCTCTCCCCTCACCTCTCTCTCTAAGTATATATACAATACATACATATGTATATCCATCTCTCTAGATGGGTATTCTCTATATATCTAGATATACTTATGCATACATCTTCCTGTATGGACATAGATATGCAGATGTCTATACGGAGATGTAGATATATATGCATGGTATGTGTATTTTATGTATGTATTATGTATACACACATGCACCTCTCTCCGGAGAGCCCTGACTGCCACATTCTACTTGGATATTTTGCCAAGCCCAAGGGCTAAGAAGAGCATAATCTCTGGAGTCAGCCTGCCTGGAACTGGGACTGGATTCTGCCCCTGCTACTTACTAGCTGTGTGATCTTGGTCGAGTTCATTCTTTTCCTGTACCTCAGTTTTCCCACTGAATGGGGATAACAACAGTACCCACCTCGCAGGGGGGCCGTCCCTAGCTCAGCGCCTGGAGCACAGCCGTACTCAGCGCGCGGTCCGTCCTCCGCCCCCCCCGCCTGTGGGCGGGGCTGTCCCCATCTGTGGGCGGGGCTGCCCCCCCCAGGCCGCCCCCCCGCCCCCCCCCCGCGCACGCGCGTCTCACCGGCTGCCGGAGGCGGGGCTCTCGGGGGCGGCGGTGGCAGCCAGGCCTGGTGGCTATACCGCTGTACACACTGTGCTGACTGTGAACTCCGCCTCGGTGGCCATGATGTCTGTGGGCTGGATGTTGCGGTCGTACATTGGGTTCTCGAATGTGGCCCTGACGTTTGTGTTCTCATGGCCAGCATAGCCATTGAACGGAACTTTGGGTCTTCTCCTGGGAGTAAGACAGCGAGTGACAGAGAGAGCGAGAGAGAGAGAGAGAGAGAGAGAGATTGAGAGAGAGAGAGGCTGACTTGGTCTGAAGGGGGAGAGGGAGGGAACGGGAGGTTGTGTCTTCCTCTCAGAAGGCCCCAGGAAGGCTGTGGGCTGGGGTCGGGGATGCGGCCCTACCCCCTCCAGGCGCCCCCCCACCCCCCGCTCTCCCCCGCCGCCCTCCCTCCCGTACCTGTGCTTGTAGAGATAGAGCACAAAGCCCGCGATGATGAGCGCGATGAAAGGCACCAGGATTGCGGCGGCCACAGAGCTGCTGTTGGAAGCAAAGTGGCGGCCGATGGACTCGGGGTCGGACTCCAGCAGCCTGAGGTCTGCAAAGTCGCAGAGCAGAAACCTCAGGTCACAGAGACCCAGCTATGTGAGGGGACAGCCCCCCGGGGGGCGGTGTGGCCTCGAGCAGGGAGGTCATCTCCTGCAGCCCAGACCCCGAGCCAGCTGCCTTCCCCGCCCCCAGTCCCCGGGAGCCAATCTGCAGGAGAACCTAAAACCTGTCACAGGCTAAAGTCTTCAGAGGGTGCCGCCTTCAGAAGTTTTGAAACTTCTTTTGGCCACAGAAGCCTTTTATCAGGTAAAACCTTAGGAGGAAGCCCAAATACAAAACAGGTGAGGGTGGGCCTGCTGGGGGCGGGGGGCGTGGGAGAAGAAGTGTGAGCAGCCTGGGGCGGGGGTCTCCCTCCTCCTCCTCCGCTGTGGTCCTCCTGGCACCAGGCTGGGCCGGGCGCTCAGAGGAGCGCAGGGAGACAAGTTGCCCACCGCACCCGGGTGGAGGCTCCAAGAGGGGACAGGTCTGCCCCAGGGGGATGGGGAGTCAGTTGAGAAGCCAGAATCGAGAACTCCAGCTTCTGAGTTCTCTCTGGTGTGTCAGGCTGAGGGGCCAGGGGAACTGTCTTCAAGTACTTGAAGGGGTGCTGTCGGGAAGAGAGAGAGGTCTTACTCCATGCTCCTCACAAGGGCGAGCTAAGAACTCCCCTAGGGGAGGAGAGTGGGAATGACAGGGAAGCAGATTTTTGCTAAGACAAGGAGAAGCTTCCTGAAGGTCAGAGCTGCGAGAAAATGCAGGCAGAGCCCCTGGGCATGGTGGAATCAGCAGCCGGGTACATAGAGCTGGCTCTTGAGCACCCCGGACTGCCTCCTGTCTCCCCTCACCGCCTCGGAGAAACCAGGGGCCCTCCCTGGACTAGGGTCTGAGGCTCTGGGTCAAGGTCAGTCTCTGAAGGGAGGAGACTGGATGCCGATGACTGTAGCAGGCAGAGTAAAGATGCCAGGGAAGAGCCACCTTCTGGGACTGCTCGGGGAGGGAAGGACAATGTGAGTTAAAGGCACCCCTAAGAACCCCACATCTGCATGCTTTAGGGTGTCTGGGTGGTGCCCAAGGGCTGGCTGGCTGGTGTTGCTGGGGGCCGTATTCAAGACCCAACGTCCCTTACGCCAGGGCTCTCAACTCCAGGCCTGGCCATGAAACTGTTTGGCAAAGGTCGAGCCTGTCATGTGTATGTGCTTGTTTCTGGGGACATATTCCATAGCCTTTATCAGAATCTCAAAGGCCGGGGTGCCTGGGTGGCTCAGTCGTTAAGCGTCTGCCTTTGGCTCGGGTCATGGTCCCAGGGTCCTGGGATCGAGCCCCACATCGGGCTCCCTGCTCAGCGGGAAGCCTGCTTCTCCCTCTCCCACTCCCCCTGCTTGTGTTCCCTCTCTCACTGTGTCTCTGTCAAATAAATAAATAAAATCTTAAAAAAAAAAAAATCTCAAAGGCAGCTGTGACCCGCAAATGGTTAAGAACCCCTGGATTTGGCTGTTGCACTTCACTCCTCTACCCACCCACCCCTGTACACAAGTGTCTCCCTTCCCGAGGACAAATGCTAGTTACCAAGTCTTTGAAAGCCGAACTGCCCAAAGCCTTGGCCCTTGACTGAGCCTTGATAGATGAAGGTGCCTCCGGGGGACTCTGAGGAGACCTGCGAAAGTGAGAGCAGAGGCAGTGAGATGGGGGCATGGCCAGGTGAAGCCGCACACCCTCCTGGTGCGGGCTGTCAGACTCTGGTGTACCCTGGGACTATGGTGCTGGAGGTGGGGCGGGCCCACTGGGTGCTCCTAGGAGGCGGGGAGGTGCTTAATCGTCTACTGGTCCCATCACTTCATCTGTGTGGGCCTTCCATTTGCCAGGCAGGTCTAACAATAGTACCTGTTCGCAGGGTGGTGGTGAGGCCTGCTCGAGCTCACGCAGAGAAGGCACTTAGACCACTTCCGGGCCTAGAGAACTGTTAGCCGTTATCACTGTGATGAAAACGACCATCAAGAGCCCCTGGAACCACTGAGCCGTGATTAAAGTGTACCCAGCAGATTTAACATACTTTGGATGGTTCATCACAGTTCCAATAGCTACTAATTTGAGGAGGTAGTTGGGAACGTAAGTCTTCTTGGCTCATCTGTCTTGTCCCTGCGGATGCACCCTGACTCCTCAGCTACTCTGGCCACCATCACCTCTCCCTCCTTCCCACACTTCTATGTCCAGCATCAACAGTCTGAGACAGGGAAGCCACAGGTGTGATACGGGACACTATGCTCAATTCCCACCCCCCTGTGAAATTGGAAGGTACGGGCAGAGAAGCATCACTGTGGATCTGCCTTCTGCCTTAAGAATGCCCTAGAATGTCGTTAGGCTTTCCCACACGGGAAGGCAAGAAAGCCGTATCTCCTCCCCTGTGTCTTGGTCTCTCAAGCTGTGCTAAATCAGCTGTAATCTGCATCCTCAATTGTGAGTGATATTTGAAGTAGTCACCTGGGACCTTTTCCCATATCCCAGCACAACACCATTACCTCCAGCTTGCTTGAATTCACTCTTACACAGCTGTTCCGGTTCCTTGCTTTCTGCTCGAACATCAGACCCTACTCCATATCACTCAGATGTGCTGGCCCTCTGGACATTCCGCCTCCTGGCCCCTTTATCTTTTCCTTTACCCATTTCACTAGCAGATGAGGATTCCCTTGATCCCAGTCCTGGCCCCCAAGTAAACCTCTCAAGTTTCCATGTTGATCCTATGCATCTCCACTCTCTCTCCTCCCTTCCCTGCCTGTGATCTGGGAATCAGGGACAGGGCAAGGGCACAGGGAGGTCAAGGACTGAGATTTTGCAGCACTTACATGCCCATCTAAAGCCCAGTGATTGTCTTTGAATTTGTTCACAAAGATCTCCACAGGCCCTGTAATCTGGTAAACCTGGAGCAGGAGATGGAAATCTTCTTTCTTGTAAATTCCTGGGAAAAGGAAGTTCAGAGAGTACACTAAAGATCTGGAAAAATCTCCAGGCCCAAATTTGCGGGTATGTGGAATTTCACGTGTCGATGTTGATGTAAACATGGCATGCATGACTGCCAGTAGGTAAGCGTAGTCTGGCCTATGAGATTGTGTGCGTTGAGTGTGAGGATACACAAGAGTGTGTGCATGTGTGTTACAGACAACTGGATCACTGACCTGTGTTTGTGACCCTTTTAACGCATGCACGCGTCTTGATTTGGCTAAGGCCCCTTGCTTTTATACCATCGTTGCAAGTGTTAACACAGTGAAAAGGGCAAATCACTATTTCACTCAACTACTACTACTCTAATCTCTTTTCTCTGCTGAAAAATGATGCCCTTTCTTAGTAAACACCATGAAAAATGTGTACATTTTTACATTCAAGACTTTGCATACATTAATGTGTCAGTTAACGCATGAGTATGCTTTACGACTCCGTGGGTGCGGGAATGCAGGACGCATGTACGTGGGCTTCTGTGATGTCTTTACTACTCTGCCTTAGAGCGAATGGGGAACCCGACTGTTCAGTTGTGCGTGTGTGCGCTCGCACGGATGAACGGGTATGATTGTATGTGGGCCTTGTATTAATGTCTACATCCATTCACTCATGCATTCCTTTACCTGTCCATCTCTTCCAGAAATGTTTGTTTTCTGAGACATTTAGTTTTTCTGATTATAAAAAGATTGAAAATTGGGGAAATTGTGGGAAAGGCAGAGATGCAGGAAGAAAAAAGAAATCATTTCTGATATCACTAAGAAATAGCCACTGTTAAACTTTTGGTGGAATTATTTCCAATTTTCTTTCTTTTTTAAAGATTTTATTTATTTGAGACACATAGAGAGCAAGAGAGAGTGCACGAGGGGGGGAGCTGCAGAGGGAGAAGGAGAAGCAGACTCCCCACTGAGTAGGGTTAGGGTTAGGGGCAGGGTTCCATCCCAGGACCCTGGAATCATGACCTGAGCTGAAGTCAGATGCTTAACCAACTGAACCACCCAGGCACCCCCCAATTTTCTTTCTAATGAATATAATTTTTCCTTTAAAAACTGGAGTCACATTGTAAATGCACTATGGTAGGTCCATTTGCCTCCAAACTGGCATACTATTTTATCTATCAGATGTATTATAATTAATATATCCATTTTGTTATTTTTGGATAATTTTCTCTTTCCAGTTTTTATGTAATACAAATAGCCCTGTAATGTCAACATCTTTTATTCAGGAATGTTTCACTCCTTCCATAGTTATTTTTTATGGTAAAAATTCTTAGAAATATGATTAATGGGTTCAATAATTTTCAAAGAGCTTAACACAAATTGCCAAACTGTTTTCTAGAACTGTACTATTTTATTGACCATCAACTGCTTCAGTGCCTTCACTGGACCTTGAACAGCACTAACGTTTATCACTTAAAAAAAAAATCTTAGTGGGATAACTGGAAAATGACATTTTCTGTTTACTTTTAGTTTTTTGATTATTGCTGAAAAATATTTTTTCTTTTGTTTATTGACTGACTGTATTTTGGCTTCTGGGAATTCTGTCCTTATTTTTGGTTCAGTTTTAGGGATTTCGGTCTCTTTTCTCTTTATTTAAGAGTTGTTTTCAGCTCAAGTTATTGTTTGTCATCTAACCATTTCCTTTTAGACCCTGGTGATTTTATCATGCAAACAAAGATGAACAGACAATTTCTCCTCCTTCTGCCCATCAGACAAGTCCCCCCAGGACATGAGGATGCAATGACAATAGACTTGTCCTTGTAGAGGGCGTGTGCCCGCCCACCCCTATCACACCCAGGCTTTCACGGGGGTGGCCTGCTCCTTACCAGCCAAGTGCACCTCCACGCCACTGTGGTCAATCATGGTGGCGTTGACCTTGCTGTTGACAACCTGGAAGCCAGTCACTCTGAGCATGGCTGGCTGCTTCTTCCCCTGGTACTCATAGGCCCCTTTCCATAGGGAGTTCTTGGCAAAAACATCCCCAGGAACTGGAGGAAGTGAGAAACAGATGTGAGAGGGACTGAGGCCACCTGATGGCTGATCCCAATTCACTCACTGAGATTGCTTTCTCCAAAGCCTAACTCGGGAGAGGATGGTGGAGTGCTCCGGTCCTCCTGTGATCCAAAATGGAACTTGAACTGAGTATGATGCCAACTCTAGTTTCCTTCTTATATAACACACATGCTAATGTGATGAATAAAAGTATAAAGTTCAAAAAAGGATACGATAGTCCACAATAATTTTGCATTGGTTGGGCCACACATGTAGTTATGTGCCCAGTTCTGGACATTGCACTTTGAAAGAAATAATACCTGTGTTAAAAAAGTAACCGTTTCCAGGAAGCTCCCTGGGCAGGACTTGGATCTCTGTGTCTGTATGACTACACACTGGCCAGTCCTGTGCTGGGGGGGTTGTGGTAAACAATGGCTCCTGAGCTCGAAGATCTGGATGTGTTTCTGGAAGGCTTTGGCTCTCTCTTCTGGATGAGGTTTCTGTTTCCTTCAGGTTCACTTCCTCCTGAAGTTTGTCAGGGGTGGGTAGTGGGTGGAGGAATCTGTTTGGCTCTGTAGACAGTTTTCACACCCTTTCACTGAGTACTCGGAAAGTCATGTGCATGTCTCTGGGTAACTAGGTGAAGGAATCAACACCAGTTTCTTGAGCCGAAGCTCTGGACCATACCTACCAGAAGCTTGGGTGAGTGGTGGCTCCCGGGCAGTGTTGATTGGTCTCCCACTCGGCCGGACCTCTGCTGGGGAAAGAGAATGGAAGAACACAGGTTCACACTCTGGTCTACACTCTATTGGAAAAATAATGGCCACCTCTCTGACACTAGGTCAATGGGTTCTCTGAGATCCTGCTTTGGACTTATCCTCTTAAATTGGGAGTGGATACTTTGTCTGGTGATGCTATGGACCCCTCTTGGAATAATAAAACAATGAGTCAAAAGGAAATCCGTTTTATCAATTACAGTCATTGACATATTAAACAAAGAATTAGGATGCAGGTAGATATGTGATTCTTTATTACTGCATTAAACAACAGGATCTAATAGCAGGTCCAGTCACTACCATATCCTTGAAGTAGTCAGGAACATAAGCAATATTTCATGATATCAATAACAACTGTAATATAATATGAAAATCTCTGTAATTTTTACCGGTGACAAAGTCATAGGTATTGTTAACACTACTATGGGTTTTTGTCTACATTTCAAATTAAAAGAAGTGTTAAATTTCAGCAAGAGGTAAAGGACAATAAAGCTGTCTCTTCTGCCACCCTTGTACCTAGATCTGCCGAATGCCCCTATTGATGACCCTAGGTTGAAAAGCCCTGTCCCGGACTCTGCTTTCCTCCCAGATGCCTGGCACGATGGAGGACCTTCCAACAATCAAAAGTGAACTCCTTGAGGCCTGGTGGGGGTTTGAGTGGTGTGCTCCCTTCCCTTGGAGTGATGATAGTAAGACTGAGAAGCCCACAACAGCTGCTCTGTCTCGCACCATGAACCACAATTCCCAGCGCGTTTTCTCTGGCGTCCACACCGACATCCCTCCCAACCTAGGAGATGCTCAAGGAGGAGCATGAGGGGGATGTACTCGGGGTGCCCAGGGCTTGGCTCCTCTGATGACCGCCATGGTCAATATCCACAGCAAGAGCTCGTGGTGATGTCACAGAGGCAGTTATACAGATCAATGGATAAAGCTGAGGATCCAGATATAAGCTCACATCATCCGGTCCCTGTTCAACACAGTCTGGGCTTCCTGGCCTTCGCCTACTCTGTGAAGCCTAGGCAGCTGAAGATGGCAAGCTATGTGACTGGGGTCCTGGCCTACATCCCTGCTGCCAATTGACTGAACATCAGGGCCCTGGTCTTGGGCCTCCTTCTGATCATTACGTTCACCATTACTTTTGCCACTGGCTCGCTGATGATTCTCCACGCAATTTCAGAGACCATAAAATGTTATGGAGGCTGCTAGTAGCTGCCCATGGTCTGAGGCTCTCACCCCTCTCATAGCAGTGTCTATACACATCAGTTTACAGCTGAACTCAATAAAGCACTTGTGTGTGGAGAGTACAAAAGACTGAGAAGCCCTCACAGGCAAAGTCACAAGCTCTGGGCCTAAGCCAGACAGTGTAGGTTCAGGTCCCAGCAGTGCTACTTCGTGATATGTGACCTGGACCAGTCCCTTTACCCCTCAAAGTCTCCATCTCCTCACTGGAAACATGGGAAAATACTGAAACATACCTCACAGGTCTACGCTGAATAAATGAGGTTGTGAACATGAGGGTCACAGTCAGCCATTGTTAATGTCTTTTCTTCTTTTGCACAGAAACAACAGAAATATCTGCCTCATCACCAAGGAAGGGCAGACTCTCCCTTCTATCTCCTTGAGGAGGCTAGATTTTGAGCACAATCATTCCGACTCCGGAGGGCAGTTTATGTACAGAAGGCTGTGGAGAAATTTTCCACAGTGTCTCAGTCAAAGTACTTTTATGAAGAAAATGCCTTTATTGTCTTAGGTTTTATAAGATGAAGGATGTAAGAGGGAGAAAGCTTATAGGCCAGGAGCTGTGCTAGGCCATGTTATTCACATTATTTCATTTACTCCTGCTCTCAAAACTGTGAGGTACAGATTACTATCTCCATTTTATAGAAGAGAAACTCGTTAAGAGGCAGAGAAGTGAAGAGGCTTGCCAAAGATCACACAGTAAGGGGATGGATTGAAATTCAACTGCATCTAAAGCATTTTGTCCTTTTATAGACAAGTACATAATAGCATCAAAAACAGTAAAATACTTAAGACTAAATGTGACCAAGAAGTGCAAGACGTGTATAGTGAAAATGACAAACCATCGTTTTAGAAGGAATTAAAGATCTAAATAAATGGAAAGACATCCCCTGCTCATGGATTGGAAGACTTACTACTGTTCAGATGGCAACATTCCGCAAACTGACCTACAGATTTACTGCAATCCCTGTCAAAATCCCAGCTGTCTGTTTTGCAGAATTTCACAATCCAACCCTAAAGTTCATATAGAAATATAAGGGGCCCAGAAGAGCTAAAACAATCTTGAAAAAGAAGAACAAAAAGGACGATGTACACTTCCCAACTTCAAAACTTATTACAAAGCTATTGTAATCAGAACTGTGGTGATGTCATAGAGGCAGTTATACAGATCAATGGCTAAAGCTGAGGATCCAGATATAAGCTCACATATTTATGGTCAAATGATCTTTGGCAAGGGTGCCAAGAAAATTCAATGAAGAATAGTGAAGAATAGTCTTTCCAACAAATGGAGCTGGGACAACTGGATATCCGCATGCAAAAGAATGAATTTGGACCCCAAATGACCACCTCCCCCCACAAAAAACCCCACAAAATGAACAAAAGACCTAAATTTGGGAGCTAGAACTATAAAACTTAGAAAAAACCATAGATATAAGTTTTCATGACCTAGGATTTGGCAATGGTTTCTTAGGTATGATATGGAAGCATGAAGAAAGAAAATATAGATAAATTGGAGTTCATTAAAATTAAAGACTTTTGTGCTTAAAAGGACACCAAAAGAAGGTGAAAAGGTCCAAACTCATCAAGTTGTATACATTGAATATGTGCATTTTTATATATCAATTATATCTCAATAAGGCTGTAAAAAAACTCCATTTAAAAAAAAAAGAAAAAAATTTAACACAGGACTAAAATGGAGCTTGAAATGTGACAGTCTAACTTCATTTTAGGTGATGAGTGAAATAAAGGAGAAAGTACTTGTAAATTTTAAAAAAAGAAAGTGAAAGACAACCCATAAAATGGGAGAAAATATGTGCAAATCTTGTATCTGATAAGAGTCTTATATTCTAGATATATGAAGAACTCTTGAAGAGACTCTGGACCAAGATGGTGACATGGGAAGCTCCTGAATTTCCCTCCTGTCATGGACATACTGAATGTACAGCTACACATGGTTTAACAGCAGGAGTTCAAGTAGAGGAAAGGATCTAAATATAAAAACATAGGAAACTATAAAACTCACTGATATAGATAGATGGTTAAATTCAGAATACTCTAATATTATAACTGTGCTGGGTAAATCAGTTACAACTCTAGTATAAAGATTAAAAGACAAAAGTATTAAAAATAACTACAACTGCAGGGGCACCTGGGTGGCTCAGTTGGTTAACTATCTGACTCTTGATCTCAGCTCAGATCTTGAACTTAGTGTTTGAGTTCAAGCCTTGAATCAGGCTCCATGCTGGGTGTGGAGCCTAAAAACAACAACAACAACAACAAAAACACCCAAACTAGAATGCAGTAATTTGTTAATGAATACATTGTATAAAAAGATGTCAACTATGACATCAAAAACATAAAATATAGGAAGGGAGTGTAAAAATGTAGAGCTTTTGTATGCACTCAAAGTTAAGTTGTTATTTGCTTTATTTATTTATTTAATTATTTATTATTTTTAAGTAGGCTTCATGCCCAGCGTGGAGCCCAGTGCGGGGCTTGAACTCATGACCCTGAGATCGAGACCTGAGCAAGATCTGAGCTGAGACCAAGAGTCAGATGCTTAACTGACTGAGCCACCCAGGTACCCAAGTTGTTATTGGCTTTAAAAAGGCTGTCATAACTATAAGATGTTTTATGTAAGCCTCACAGTAAACACAAAATAAAAACTTCAGTGAATACACAAAAGGTAAAGAGAAAGGAACCAAAACATACCACTACAGAAACTTATCAAATCCCGAAGGAAGAGAATAAGGAAAGAAGAAAGGAACTACAAAGAAGCCAGAAAAAAAAAATTAAGAAAACAGCAATAGGAAGTCCATACTTATAAAAAATTACTTTAAATGTAAATGGACTAAATTCTCTAATCCAAACACAGAGAGTAGCTGAATGGACAAAACAAAACAAAAAACAAACAAAAAATCCCCAGACCCAATGATATGCTGCCTACAAGAGACTGACTTCAGTTTCAAGGACACAGAGCTGAAGGCGAAGTGAAGGGAAAAGATATTCTATGCAAAATGGAAACCAACCAAGAACAGGGGAAGCTATATTTCCATCAGACAAAATAGACTTTAAGCCAAAAACTGTTAACAAGAGACAAAGAAGGTCATTAGATAATGATAAGGAGTTAATTCATCACGAGGATATAACAATTATAAGTATTTATGCACCCAACATCAGCACATCTAAATATATTTTAATATATAATAAAAGAAAATAAAAACAAATATTAACAGATCTGGGTGGAGAAATAGCAACACAGTAATAGCAGGGGACTTCAATACCTTCCTTTCAACCACAGATTGATCATCCAGACAGCAAATCAATAAGGAAACACTGGGCCTAACCTACACAGTAGATCAGACGGACTTAATGGACACTTACAGAACATTCCACCCGACAGCAGCTGAGTACACATTCTTCTCAAGAGCATGTGGAACATTCTCCAGGACAGATCATATGGGCTACAAAACAATTCTTTTTTTAAGGTAAGTCTACCTTTTTTTTTTTTTTTTAGAGAGAGAGAGGGAGAGAGACCATGCACACACACAAACACACACACTCTCTCTCTCAAATAAATAAATCTTTAAGCCCAGGCAGAAGGTAGCAAAATAAAACTTGGGATGGCCTCACTATGTGTCTCTTTGGACTGCTCTGGTTTCATCTCCTAGAGGCTCAATATCTCAGAAACTCAGAAGCAGGATCCAGCTCCTGGAAATCCTATTTCTTCCTTCTCTTTTGCTGTCTTCTGCTCAAGCTCAGCTGTCACCTTTGGCCTCCCACCCTGGAGAGGTTCGCCGAGTGGGCGCACTCACCCAGGCAGATGGGTGGTTTGCCTGTCCAGCTGCCATCTGCTTTGCAGGTGCGGTGCTCGGAGCCACCCTTGAGGGAGAAGCCCTCCTGGCAGGAGTAGAGGAGTGTGTAGCCCATGGAGGGCAAGTCCAGGGCCCCAACGTTGGCATGGGATGGCGTCTCTGGCTGCTTGCAGTGGTGGGCTGGGTGAGAGGAAAGACAGTGTTGGACCTGGGGAGAATAGGGTCTTCAGGAGGCCTTTTAACTATTCCTGTTCCTACATGGAACATCCCTTTCCTTCTAGGCCCCTTTCATGTCCAGCATCCCCTCCCCAAACCTCCCCTCTAACCCCAGCCTTGATGTCTAGACCTATGGCCACGATGGAGATGATGTGGATCCAGGCTTAGTCACCCCTGGGGGGCCTGCAGCACTCTTCCTGGGGAAGAGAAGTAATTATGGTCAAAAGCCTGAAATCTTTCAACCTGAGGGCTGACCTTGTAGCTGTGAGTTTTGGCTGCCACTGGAAAGTTCTTTCTTTTTCGCTAAAGCATAGGAATTGCCTTCAAATATCAGCAAGGCTTTTGTGTGGAAATGTCTTCTGTGAGGCCCCAAGGGATAAGGACTACAAAGAAAGCAATATTGGTCCCAGGGAGAAGTCATGAGCTCCCTGTCAGTCAGAGCATTCGAGCATGTCCCAGGTGCCCAGCTGGGGGAGATAATGTGTTTCCAAGAGGAACTGTCTAGGGATGCAGGGGAAGTCTGCACTTACGGACACAGTCGGGTGGGGTTCCACTCCAGGTGAGGTTGGGGAGGCAGGTCCTGGTGGTGGAACCCTGAAGCAGGTAACCTTTCTGACAACGGAAGAGCACTGTGCTTCCAACCTGTTGGGAGGACAGAAGCTTCCTTCATCCCTTTCTATCCAGCGATGCTTCATACCTTGTTACTTGACTACTTACTTCCCCATCACCCAGTTCCTACCCACACCCTTGCCTCCACCTGCAACATCCTTCTTCCACTTCTCTGCCTGGTTAAATATTATTTACCCTTTGAGGCAGGCTTATGCCTCTTCCTTCAGCCCTTACCCGAGCCCCGGGGCCAGAGCAATGCTCTTCTCGGACGTGGTACGCTCTGCTGTGGGGGACAGATGCCTGACTCAGAATCAGAAGACCCTGGTCTGAGTTCCGGCTTCGACGTTTGCTCACGGAATGACAGGCTGCCAGGAATTTGACACCTGAGTCTTCTGGTGCAGAGCGTGGGACCACCAGCCCGGTCACCCCTACAGTGCAGTGTCGTGACACTCAAACTCGGTGCTGGATTTGAAAGCATTTTATAAAACGGGAAGCACTGCACAACACAGAAGTATTACTTGGGTGTGTCTCTTCTATGAGTCTACAGGTTCCTTAAGGAAGGGAGACTGGTCTTCTTCATAGACAGCTCCCCCATAGAACCTGGCACTTGCTTAGTGAGTATCTGTTGGGCAGAATCACTATCCTGCTGCCATCGCTGCCTCTGCTCAGTTGTGTCTCCCCCGCCCGCCGTCCACCAGCCCTCACTGTCCCATGCGACGCCCCTGCAACCACCAGCTCCATCTCTCCTTCCGCCCTCTGCATGGCAGCTTCCTAAGCTGTAACTCCGATGTCCCTGTTTCCCAGCTCAAAACACTCACATGTCCCTATTACCTATGGAAGCAAAATTCCAACACCAAGTGAAACTCTTGACTTCCACTCCCTTCCTCCAGGCCCTTCTGCTTCGTCTGGAATGTCATCCTCTCATTCAGCAACGGCCCCTCTGTCCGTCCAGGTGTGCAGATCAAAACTTTCAAGCCAGTCTTGATTTCTCCCTTTTCTTCAACCCCTCCCTCCAATCCATCAGCGCGTCCTCTTGGTTCTGCCTCCACAGTCCATCTTGACCCCTTCACTTCTCTCCATGTCACTGTCACTACCTCGCCCTTCCCCCCGAGCCATGACAACAGTGTCCTACTTGTCCGGGTGCCTCCGTCTTCACCCCCCATTATTCACTTTCTCTGCAGCGTTCAAATGATGGATCAGAGTCCCCTTCAAATGGTTTCCTGTGACATTTAGAATAAAATCCAAAATGCTTACCATGGCCTCAAGGGCCCTAGGTGACCTGGCCCACGGCTTTCTCTTTTAAGAAATTATTATGTAATATTTGATGCATGCAAAAGAATATATGGAAAGAAACTGGACACATTAAGTTGAGCCCAGCACTCCAGGGCTAGAATGTTAGCAACACAATTGTTACTCTCTGCGTCCTCCTCCCCTGTCCCATTCCTCTTTCCTTGGCTCTTCCTCAGTGGTAAGCACTATCTTGAATTTTGTGTTTTTTAATTTCCTTGCTTTGTTAAAAGATAATTCTATCACACATATGCACATATATCTCTAATCATATGTCCTTCTTAGTTTTAATCTTTATAGAAATAGCATCATCCCACCTTATCATTTGATGCTATGTTTCTAAGATTCACCCACATTGTGTAGAGCTGTCCTGCATTCATTCTCACTGCTGTGACTTTGAAATTTTTCTCAGATCTCGGTAACATGTGCAAGGGTATCTTTGGGGTTCGTTTCCAGGAATGGAGCTTTTGGGTTGCAGAATGTGTGAATATTTAACTTTACAAGACAGTGCCCAGTTGTTTTCAAACCTCGCCTAGCTCTCTGGCTACATCTCCTCTTCGGCTCACACTGCTCTGGACTCGTTGGCCCCCCTGCTTTCCACTCCTCCAACCTGCTAAGTGCTCCCCCGCCTTGGTGCCCCTTTGAACTGGAGGCCACAGCTCAATTTCAGGAGGGCTCTTCCTAAAATAGCAGCCCACCCTGTCACAACCCCTTGGTACTAGATGGTGGGTAGGGCTTATTGCTCTCAGAAGTTATCCTGTTCACTGTCACCAGCTGGAGACCTTCTTAAGAGTGGGCACATAGCCTGTCTTGTTCCCACTGCATTCCTAGCACCTAGAAAGTTTATGGCAGTAAATATTTGTTACATGAATACAGATGGAGTGAATAAGTCACATTCTTTGGCTGGATCCCCACGGGCCATTTCTCCTGGGCACATCTCATGCTCCAGCTAACTGTCCTGTCTTGAGCACACCCATACTTTCCTGCTTCCTGTTCTCTGTTCCAAGTGTCCCATCCCAGGCTGTCCGCATCCCTTCTTCTTTCTGAAGTTCGTTCTGAGATGTGTCCGTGGAGCCTGCCTCCCGTGTGGCACTTGCTCGTTCCTGCCACTTTGAACCCTGGGTCTCTAGGGAGCGTGTAGGTGCCGTGCGGACAGACGGTTGCCTGTCTCACTCATTTCTGTCTTTCCACGACTGCCCGCCCCAACCACAGGGGGCTGCTGGGGCGTGTTGCTGTCACTACGTGAGACTCTCTTCCGCATCAGTTTCTTGGATTTTGCTGTCATGCCTCTGTTTCTGCAAGGTGCTCCAGTGTGGCGTGGTTCAAAGATGCAGAACACTTTCTGTCTCCAGCTTCCAAGGTCTTGTTCCCCCCAGTGCTGTACCTGGGAAGAGCCCTGAGTCCTCTGAGGCTGACAGTGATAGACAGGGACAGGGGGCAGGAAGGCCTGATCCTGGCTGACCTCATTACCTGGTATCCCTGGGAACTGTTCTGTATCCCGAACTGTGGCACGCCGGGGTCTGCACACATGGTCAGCGTCGGGTCTGGATTGCAAAACAGAGAAACAGAGCCCATGGTCAGAGAAGCTTTCATCACCTCCACTCACTCTGAGAGATAGGTGTAGGAGGGAAAAATGGAAGCCACATCCTACTCCCCGACCTGTTAATATCTCCACCCGAGTCATACCCCTGGGCCGACTATGTGATTCCTGGCAGCACGCTCACTCTGGCTATTTCAATTTCATGCTCTGCTCTAAGAAGCTCGGGCCTGAAAGAAGGATGCCCACCAGCTCGGACGCTCTTCCCCAAACCACCTCTCACCTATGCAGCTGGGCTGGGTGCCACTCCACGTCCCATCGGACTGGCAAAACCTCCGTGGAGAGCCCACCAGCACCAGAGGGGGCTGGCAGGAGAAGGAGACGGACGACCTGTAGGAGAAGCCTCGGTCCTCTCTCCTGCCGCGGGCTGGGACGCCGGGATCTCCGCAGAACACGGCTGGGAAGACGAAGGGAGGAAGGCAGGTCCGAGTTGCTTTCTAGAGCCCCATCGGCCACCACCGGCTGGCTTTCCCAGTGCCACTTGAACTCTGCCAACGGGGGCAGCCCTGGGTCAATAGTCATACCCGCCTCACACACCTGCTGTTGTGTGTGTCCTCTCCTTCCCAACTCCAAAATGCTTGTTAATAATCACCCAAGTAATGAAGCAACGTTATAGGAAGTTAAATTGAGAAAAAGTAAACTACAACTCACTACCCAAAACTTTTCCCCATTTTCATGTGTGTAAACTTGTGTGTGGCTGTGAACCCAATGTCCCAGTGTTATAAACCTTGCTTTGTTCACTTACTAGTCTGTAAATATTTTCCACGTTTATGACACCATTATCATTTACTGGCTACATAATTTTGCCATGAGAGGTTGTACCATAGTTGCAGTTTATCGTAGACTTTATATTAGGCATTTTCTATTATTATACCATTAAATGTGGCTCTTTTTTCCCTGGTAATGTTTTCTTTTTCTTTGTTTTAAAGATTTTATTAATTTATTTGACAGAGAGAGAGACAACGAGAGAGGGAACACAAACAGGGGGAGTGGGAGAGGGAGAAGCAGGCTTCCTGCTGAGCAGGGAGCCCGATGCGGGGTTCGATCCCAGGACCCTGGGATCATGACCTGAGCCCAAGGCAGATGCTTAACGACTGAGCCACCCAGGCAGCCCTTGGTAATGTTTTCTTATAGGGATTCTCTAGGAGTGGACTTAGTATGTTTGAGCGTGTTTGCAGCTCTTGATGTATACAGCCAAATGTCTTTCCAAAGTGTGTGCATTTATACTGCGGTGGGTATTAATGTGCCCATTTCATTGAGATCCTCAGAGAGATTCCCTAAAGAATGATTACTGAATTCAAATCATGTGACAGCAAACAGAATAAACACAGGCCCCTCTTCTGTCCCTTCTGCTCAGTGTCTTAAGTGTTTGCACACATGGTTTACTAAAAATGTTTACTTCCTTAGGACATTGCAGAGACAGGTCTGTGTTTTTAAGGGGGCTGACTGCAAATATGATTTTGATGCCTTGAAAATAAGCATAAAGGGATTCTACCTGTGTTTTTATTCTTAGAACCAATATACTTTTAAACAGATCTCAAGATCAGGGATGGCACATAATAGACAGCCAGTGGTGTGCGGTGTGGCAGGAGCAGGCCCACAGGGCCACCAGCATGCTTGGGTTGTGCTGGTCGGAAAGCACACAGAGCTTGCACTGATTTCCCATAAACACTTGTGCAGCAGTTCTCCCAGAACAAACTAGCTGCTGTGGGGAGCAGCCGGATGGGTCCCCCACACTCCGTGAATGTGCTCTACCTAAGAGAAAGGGCCTCATGCCGATCATATGTGGCTTTGGAGTTCCACTGACTGAAGCACTCTAAGATGCAAAATTAAATTTTATGTCTATCCTTTTTTCCTATTTTAAAAGTTCTAGTGGTGATAACACGGGCTGTAAATTTGAGTAAGAATTTTAGAGAAAATTGTCTGGAGAAATGATTGTTTTCAGACTAGACTTTGTCACTAACACAGTAGGTCAGGTCCTTTTTCTGAGCCTCATCTTCCCTGCCAGCCACCTGAGAAGGGACTTCTGCCCGCCTCCCAGGATATCTCGTTGTGAGAATCAGATGTGACATGCGTGTAAACATCCCCTGAGGAGGCAGCACAAAGCCTGTGAAATGTAAAATGTTATCTCTGTGGATGGACTGATACTCTGTGACCTCCCAGTGGAGGAGTTCACGTGCGGGTAATCAGAGCAAAGCTAACGGCGCAGTGTGACTCCTCTTCCTCACATCCGTTTTGCCTTGAATTAAATTCACTTCCTTCTCCATTAATTTTCAAACAGCATTTAACAAACATCTTCAGCTCCTGATTTTCTGCTGCTTCTGGCACCGAATAAGTCCGCAGACATGAGCCCTGCCTTCTGAGATCTTAGAATCTAAGCTGGATAACACAGGAGGGTATAAAAGGTGAAAAATACAGATAAATAACATGGCTTGAGCATCAACAAAATTTACTGAAAGTACATAAGTGCATCAGGGACTCAGGAGAAGAAGTAGAAGTTGTATATTCGGAAATGGTGGGATCGGTGGGGAGAAGTCAACTTCAGAAGCTTCTTTACTGAAGACAGGGGAGCTGTCCAGCCAAATGGGGAGGTGGCATGGAAAGGGCTGAGTGGGTCTGGGGAAGCATGTAGGAAGTGGGTGAGGCTGACAATGATCTTGATCCTGATGTGCTACTGTGTGGGGACAAAATCCCTGCCCATGTTTAGGGAGTTATGTAAGAGGAAGAAGTGGTGTTATGAGGGATATGTTTGCAGTAATACAGCAAGAAAGTGACTAGGTCTGAGAAGCATGGCTATGGAGGAAGAGATGCAGTCTGGAGGAGGGAAGCAGGAGTACCAAGAACTGCGGAAGGCCCAGATGCAAAGTTTGGAAACAGTGATAAGAATTCCAAAGGTTACTGCATATCTCAAGTGGTCAGCTGCTTGGCCACGGAAAATATGTTGTGGAGCACAGCTGGTTAGAAATAAATATATTTGACTTCTTTACAGCAAGCTCCAAGGAAACTGACTACCAGAGTCATAGTTCCCCAAGACATCACTTCAAGCATGAAGAACACCCTTCATGCTATGATGTGAATGTGTGTGTGCGCACACAGCCAAGAGGTTCATAATCATATACAAAATAAAATGGAAGCAGGCTAGTATCCAAAATCTAGAAAGAACTTATCAGACTCAAAACCTGAAAACAAAAAATCCAGTCCGGAAATGGGCAGAAGACATGAACAGACATTTCTCCAAAGAACAGACACGTGAAAAAATGCTCAATATCCCTCGGCATCAGGGAAATACAAATCAAAACCACAGTGAGATACCACCTCACACCGGTCAGAATGCCTAAAATTAACATCAGGAAACAACAGGTGTTGGTGAGGATGCGGAAAAAGGGGAACCTATTGGTGGGAATGCAAGTTGGTGCAGCCACTCTGGGAAACAGTATAGAGGTTCCTCAAAAAGCTGAAAATAGAGCTGCCTATAACCCAACAATTGCACTACTAGGTATTTACCCAAAGGATACAAACAGTAATTTGAAGAGACAAATGCACCCCAATGTTTTTAGCAGAAATGTCCACAATGGCCAAACTATGGAAAGAGCTCAGATGTTCAGCAACAAATGAACGGATAAGAAGATGTGGTATATATATATACAATGGAATCATCATCATATATATGGAATTCATCAAAAAACGAAATCTTGCCATTTGCAATGATGTGGATAGAACTAGAGGGTATTATGCTAAGCAAAATAAGTCAGTCAGAGAAAGACAAATACCATATGTGGAATTTAAGAAACAAAACAGATGAACATAGGGGAAGGGAAGGAAAAATAAAATAAGATGAGAACTGAGAGGGAGGCAAACCATAAGAGACTTTTAATCATAGGAAACAACTGAGGGTTGCTAGAGGGGGGGTGGGAGGATGGGGTAACTGGGTGATGGGCATTAAGGACGGCATGTGGTGTAATGAGCACTGGGTATAATCTAAGACTGATGAATCACTAAATTCTACCTATGAAACTAATTTTAAAAAGTCTGAAAAAAAAGATGCCCCTTAAAGAAATAGAAAATAATAAAATGGAAGCAGGATCAGCAGCCTATGCTGGTGGAAGTCTCTATGGGAGCTGGGGGTCTAGACGAGCCAATCAGAAGTCAGTTAAAGGCTGACTTGATCAGAAGTCACCAAATCTAGGAAGAGGCAGCTCCATGAAAAAGAAGTACAAATGGATGACAAAGAAGGAGCAGCTCCATCTTGCTGATAAGAAATATGATGCCGGGGCGCCTGGGTGGCTCAGTTGGTTAA